TTTTCGTTGCTACTTCATAACTGTAATGTTGCTACTGTTATGAATCGTAATATAAATATCTGATATGCAGGATGGTCTTAGGCGACCCCTGTGAAAGGGTCATTCGACCGCCAAAGGGGTCGCGACCCACAGGTTGAGAACCGCTGCTTTAGAACCTTTCCCTCCCCTCCCCTCCCTTCCCCTCTCCTCCCTTCCCCTCCTCTCACACTCCCCACCTCTCCTTTCTCCTCCTCTTCCTCTCTCCTGGCAAAATGAGAACTATAGAACCATAGGTCATTTATAGATGCTTTAACTCCATCAAGCATTAATCATTTTCTGTAGACTATAGCTCCTTCTTGTAGACATCCCTTAGATAGAACTTTTCCCATTCTCTTGGTTTAATTGTTTTAAAGGTGAAAATTGAGCTAGACTTTAAATTTTTTCAGACAATTGTTGTCTGTGTAAAATTCTTCCTGCCTCTCTTACTCAGAAAACTGTTCTCTCCTTCAGCACCGCTTCCCCAGCCCTCCACCGGGAGGGTTTCTAGGAGCCCTCTGAGTGCATGCCCCCCTTTCATTCTTTTCAGCCATGGCTCAACTCAACTGCCCGAGAGGTTGCCTCTTGCCAGCTGGACTGTGAGGAACTTGAAGGTTGAGACCTAGTATCGTTACTGGCGTGAGGGAGTGAAGAATGAATAATGGGAACAACTTTCTTGTTGAACAGAATTCAGACCATGCAAGTTTAAAAAGTTGGTATAGATCAGTTTCTTTATAGGTAGAGAGCTTGAACTACCTGTTCAAGGTTTCTCAGGCTTCTGTAATATATCAGTCACTTTTTCTCACCAAGATTTTTTCTCTGCTATGTTAAAGTATATAGACAGTTACAAAACTAATATAACAAACACCCAAAGTCCGACCAACTATAAATTAACAGAGCCCTTCATCACATTCTCTTTAAGATATAGATGCAAGTAGATGCTCTTTTCATTAGAAAGGGACATTTCATGGGCCAATCATGAGCTTGCTGCCTCTCAGCTCCATTTACTACCCTTTCCCCCTGCTCTGTGAAAATGGATGTGGGTCCTTTAAATATTTCCCCCTTGCCAGCTGGAACAGTACTAAACCTTGTCAGGAGAGGGTGCAGGAGGACAGGGTCCTGCCTCCCAGCCCAGGTGTGCTCCTGCAGCCCAGTGGACGTCCCCAGGGCCCAGCGCCCACAGAGCTGGCAGCTTCTCCGGGGCTCTGCACGGAGAGCTCGGCAGCAGCAGCACCCATGGCAGCAGCCTTCCCTGCACCCAGAACATGTGGGAACTTTTGTAGCTCAGCCCTTCCCCTTGAACAGCTTTCCCGGGCACCCTCTAGGGCAGATTTCCAACAAATGTGACCGGAGCAACACCACATCAACCTCTCTCCCATCCAGCAAACCACAGCCTCGCCCTCTCGACAAGATCTGGGCCTCAGACCTGTTAGTGGTGATGGCGGTGGTGGTGGGGGTGGGGGTGGGGGTGGGGGGCACGGGGGCAGGGAGTTCCATCTCAGCTAAGAGCAGTGGCTGCTCCCTATAATTTGCTTTTTCTACATTCTTTAGGGTTCTCTTCTTAATCGCCAATGCCTCATGATTTTAATCTCACTTAATAGTTATTAAGTTTTTATATTCAACTTACCCCATTAAATTACTAAGTGGTTTCTTTCTCCTGATTGGACCCAGGCAGAAACAGAGGCCAGCACATCATGGTGTGTTGCATGCCTGTACTTCCAGTCCCGTAAGTACCAGAGGGGCTAATTCTGATGGGGAAGAGCAGCCTGCAGAGAAGTGCTGTGCCTTCGGGACTCACCCTTCCGACTCCTTTGAGCTGTAAGTCGCTGTGACTAATGATTTGCCAACTGTGGGGAGGGGGAAACTCGAACTTAATGGCTAACAAGGTGAAAAGGCTCAATAAGTCTCGCTTGGCAAATGGAGTTCAGCCAGCTTGGGCCCAGTAGCATCTCAGCGTTCCGTTCCATGTTTCCCTCTCATCGATGTTTCTGGCTCTCTATCCCTCTCCCTTCCTCTCTGTAAAAAAAAAAAAAATCAACAAAATATATTTTTAAAAAAAAGAGGCTGCTAAATCTCTGAGGGAAATGTTAGCTCCCATTCACCACTGAAGCAAGGCTGCTGGCTCTGTGGGACCCTCAGCTCCCAAAGAGGTTCAGTGGGGCTATTAAGAAAAAAAAATCCATGCTATTCATATAGTCAATTGAATATGAGGTAAAAGAGAGAGAGACCCAGCTCATTAGTCATTATTGAAAATACCAGAGGCCCAATCTGTTACTCTGAAACTAGCGATTAAGAGAATGAAATACTTATCTTGTCTTCAGGATAATCAAATAGACCTAACGGAAGAGAAATTTCCAATTTACAGAGGAATGCCAGCCAGTGAATGTGTAAGGAACGTTAGCATCAGAAAGTTATCACCTCGCCACCTCTGCTGAAGTAATTGAGTCACAGCAGTCATCAAGGGATAGTATCACTGGACAATGGTGAGCAGCTACAGAGCAGGGACCAGCTGTCACCGCCCTCACCCTTTGATCAATCTTAGCCACTAAAAATAGAAGCCAGACGTTAGGTGCCTCCTGATGTAATGCAATAGGAAAAACACAGCACCAACTGTGACATATTCTTGCCAAAAGGAAAAAGAAAGAAAGAAAAGGTTAAACCTGAATCTAATCAAGTCTCTACCTTGAACTAGGGGAAATAAAGGAATTAAAGAAGGAAGTTAAATAGAACCACAACGAAATGAAAAGGAAACAAATCAGAATGTGGGACAATCTATGGGACAATGGATCTCAGCTTATGGAACAAGCCAGTGGCAGAGAAAAGTAGGAGAGGGAGGACACAGTTTGATTAAAAGAGATTTAAAAAGCACAGCAACCAAATGTAAGGAGTGGACCTTGATTTCATCTTAATTTGAATAAATAATCTGTTCAAATTATTTTGAGACAATCAGGAGAATTTGGTTATGGTCTGATTATAAAATAATTCTGAAGAATTACTGTTAATTTTATTAGGTGTGATAATAACATTGTATTTAAAGAAGAAAATGTGTTTTTTATTTTAGGGACTAAACTATGCTGGAGGGAAATGACGCGTTGTCTAGGATTTTCTTGAAAATACTTTAACAAAGAAAAATAAAACAAATGAATAAATGAAACAAATGTGGAAAATCTTCATAATGGTTGAATCTGGGAGATTGACATCTAGGAATTCACTGCACTATTCCCTGCAATTTTGTGCATGTCTGGTAACCAAATAATTCAAAGCCTTTTAGACAATATATTAAATAATATATTAAAAAAAGAAATTGAAACCATTATGAGCAACACAGAAACTAAACATCGAAATGTTTGGGATATGGAAAAATATTCACAGGAAATCTTATAGCCTTCAATGTATTAATTATGAAAAATAAGCATTTAAATTGAAAACTTAAGAAAAGGCACACTTTGGCATCTGACTAAGGTGGAGTGGATTTACCTCTTGCCTGAAACAACAAAAAACAGACAGCATGTAGGAAATAGTAGTTCCCAGTATACGAAATATCAGGCGATAAAAAAAAAATGTGATCCCAGAGAGACAGGAAACAAAAGAGGTGAGCCCCATGATGAACTCAGCTTCCTTCCTGCATCCGGCATAGAGAGGCGGGAGGGAGCACCCAGGAGGAGCTCAGCAGGCTCCATGAGTTGGAGGATAGTATTCCCAGGAGGCGGAAAGACACCTAAAGTTTGAAAGTAACAGAGGAGAGAGAGCTGCAGAGAGACCTCTGGGTCTGTGCCCTGACTGGGACTTGAACCACCACCTTTTGGTGTACGGGATGACACTCCAACCAACTGAGCCCCGCCCGCCAGGGCTATAATTTATTAAGTATGCCTATATAGTCCAAGCGTAGGAAACACATGTTTTTAAAAGATCAAGTAGCATTTATAATAGAGGAAATGTAAGGTGGTATGAACAACTTTCATTTGTCTTGTCATTGTAATAATAAAACAATTAACATTATAGAATTTTTATGAGCCAAAATATTTTTTCCAAAGAAGACGAATACTTTATTAACGTGCTAAGAATAAGTCCGTATAAAATACATTTAAAAAAATTCAATTGGTGCTAAGAATTCCTCTGCCTGCACCCTCATCCCCAACCCCACACTTCGATGATGTTCTCCTGACAGTGGGCAGCAGAGGGTCATCAGCCCTGAGGGCAAAGGTGAGGTGCTCTGCCGGTTCCAGATCACACTCCAGGTTCACAATCACCTGCCAACAGGTGAGCCTGCTCCACGCTGAGCCATGAGCCTCAAAGCCCAGGGCGGTGAAGCACAGGTGCATGTAGGTGGTAACAGGGCAGGTAGCGAAGGAACATTAGGAAGGATCTCTTGGCAACCCTGCAGGATGGCTTCCTGCCCGTCCTGGAAGATGTGCTGAGCAGTGACAGGTGCTCTGGAGTGAGGTCCCAGAGCCACCTGATGTCCCGGTGATGGCAGGTGGCAATCGGGTACAGGTCATCCAGCTGTTGTGGGTTCCCATTCAGGTCAGGGATGAGGACAAAGCCATCTGAGGGATCTGGGTTCTCAAGACCAGTATTTACCCCGGCGCTTTGTGGCATTTGACATTGTTGAACCTTCACTGCTAGTTAGAACTCTCCCTTTAGTCTCTATGCTCTCCTAACTTTCTGGTCATTCTCTCTCGATCTCATTTATAGGCTACCTTTCCTCAAATTCACCTTTCAGTCATTGATGTGGGCTGGGAAGAGGGTTTCCATGTCTGGGTCCTCTCCCCTGGGGATTATGAGGAAGCAGGAGAAACTAAAGGGAGAACTCGTGGTTGGTAGGACCAAACCCAAAGTCATCTGCTTTCCCTTCCTGGCCTCCCGGGACAACTGTGCAAATCTACTGGAGAAATAAAATAGATCAGTTTAGACAATACTTTATGAAGACACCATTTGACTTTATATGATTTTATTTTTCACAGAATAGCACAATTACAGCCAGATTTCTACTTCAGATGAATCTAGATACGGTAATATCAATGTAAACTGGGTCGAAGGACTCTAAGAGTGACGCCCCAACTTTTTGGAGAAACTCCACATATGGAAAGAACTTGAAATCTTTGCCACTAGGGGAACTTTGAAGTTTCTCTTCCTTAACGTTTTTTGGGGGATCGTCCAGCGAATGGTTTGGGGTATAATCTCCAGTGAGTCTGCTGGTACACAGGCATAAAAAAACGGCTGGTTTTGTTTTCCTTCGTAATGGAAATTGAAATCTTCTTGATGGGGTTTTGATGCTGACTTACGTTTCCTCAGAAAATAACCTGCTCTTTCTGGCTCCCAAGCACGAACTTTCTTCTCCCTTGTGCGTTTTGCTTTCCTCTGTGTATCATTGGGATAGCAGTCCCAATGAACGTTGTTTCTATATGAATCAAGGTTTGACTTCTTTCTTTCTAGGTGTCTGTGAGGTTTGTCCTGGCTTTTTGCAAGATGTAATTTAAGATTTGATTCTGTTAAGGGAGCTAAAGAGCTTTCTGTAATCCACAAGAGCTTCTCTTCACTCAATTTAGTAGGCGATGCAAATGGAACCTCCACAGTATTTAGTGAACTGTGACACAACCAGTGAGGAGACTGCACTGTCGGGGGAGCCCTGTATTTCCTGGTGCTGTGGGATTCGTAGGAAGGCGTTGTCACAGCTGAGGAAGGTTTTCTACAGCCTCCAACAGGATGAGAAACCGAATTATCACTGTAAAGTGGTTTCAAATCAGTTTGGATTTGTTTCATCTTGTAAAGATTTTCCAAAGGAATGCTTTTCTGTAATTCATATAGCATATTTTCTGATTCCTGACTCAAATAAGGGTTGGCTTCTAAAAACATACTTTGTTCATTCTCATGTTTTTCAAGAGCTGAGCATTCTTCCAAGTTAGCTGAATTCTCAATATCTGTTTGACGGTCAGTAAAATCTTGAAAAGTCTGAATTGAATGGTAATTAGCTAAGCTAGCTGTTTCTTGAAACCATACGTGATGTTTATCTTTTTCTGGAGTCAGATGAGGTTTTAACACTGAAAGAATCGTAGTGTCTTCCTGTGCTGTTCCATGTTGTTCAGGGTCAGAAGCACACGCATGGGTGGGCTCCAGGAACCTCCTGATCAATGATGAGTTTTCATGGGGACTTCGCTTTTTGAAAGAGATATGTTGTTCTAACAGTTCTGTATCAATGGAAAGACGACCACTGTCTCCATTATCGTCTACTTTTTTACACGTCGCAGCTGTGTTTAACTTAAGGATATGTTTGGGAAGTGTATTTGGCTTAGGGATCATACTTTCTACCGGAAGCCCCAGGAGAAAACTAAGGTATTTACTTCGTAAATCTAGTTCTATTTGATGAAGAGATTTTTCCTCAAACCCTAACGAAATTATGTTTTTTTGTTTTGGTACTTTGACACCAGAATAAATACATTTAGATAAAGGTTTCTTTCTAGCCTGACTATTGGCCATTGAGTAAGATTCCGTTACAATTTTGGGAAAGGCTTTCATTTGGGTCTCCAATGTTTTCATAGAGAAGTGTATGAGAAGTTTGTCTTTTTCTTCCTCTGAGTAGTTTTGGAGAATTCGAGACATGGGCATTTTATTAGCAGAAGTCACTGAAGATGTTCCACTTCCTAGCTTACTTATACTCTTCACCTTTGTCATGATCTCCTTGCTGCCACTTGAAACAACAGTCAGTGTCTTCATACAGCTGAGCTGAGGGGAATCTTTTTGGGGTTTGTGTTTTAAGTTAAGTTTGATAGTATCAATCCCTTCTAGAGATAAAAAGCTCATTTTTTTGTGTCTTGGATAGAGCCTCCGACTGTTATCTACTGAAATAGTCCGTTTTGAATAAAAGTCGAACTTTTGGAAGGATTGTTTTGCCGTCTTGGGTATCAGATTCAGTTTTATCTCGAGTACTTTTGACTCTACAATGGGTTTTGGCTGAAATGTAGGATGTTCTGTTGTGGATGTAATATCCAGACCCCCTGAAAAAGGTGTTGACTTCCAATCATCAGGACAATGAGCTTTTGCTTCGTCCAGTTTATCAGTACAAACTTTGTCTTGGATCATGTTTTTTATCTGGGATTCAAAGACATTTTTAATTGTATCATAAAAAGGAAGTAGACTTTCTTTACTTGTACAATCTGCCACTATTTTTATTTCATTACTTTCAACTTGGGGTAGTGTAGGTACAGTTCCTGAAAAAGTGTTTTGTTGCTGGACCTTTTGTGTGGTTGTGTCCTGTATGGGCTCACTCTGATCCCTATGCTCATGTCCTTCTACTCTTAGGGTACTTTTCATGTGGGTTTTCACATTTCCCTTTGGATCTTCAGACATGCTTGGACACTCTGTGGGTGTCAGAATGGGCTTTGGCGCCTTTTCCTCTTGCTCGATAGTAAGCAAGTCAGGTTCTTTTATGACCCTGGAGCTATCATTCCCGGAAACAACCCCTCCTTCTGTTTGTAGAGTTACATTTATTTTATTCACTTCACTGCTGAGGTTTTCTTCTGGTTTAACACTAGGAGGTTTTTGCATTTGTCGTCGGCCCACCGTGGAGGGCTGAGAATCTTCTGGAACTATGCTTGGAAAATTCTGGCCTCCTCTTTTCACAGTGCTGGAGTTGTCCCTCTCAACAATTTCACTAGCCATTAATGATTTCTCCTGGAATTTAGAAAAACAGATTCTCTTTTTTCTTTCTTGCTTTGTCTCAGATTCGACCATTTCTTCCGTCTGAGATAGACTCACCCCAGAAATAAAGAGACTTCTGATAAGTACTCCTGAGTCATCTTCATTCCGTAAAGCTATTTCTTTTGGTTTGTTAAAGCCACCCTCTTTACTTTCCTGTGTCTCCTCTTCTTGATGTATGGGGAACGTGAGGTTTATCGTCTCCACACCAACCTCTTCCTTATTCTGTGGCACACATTGCTTTCCCTCTTGTGGACTGATTAGAATATCAGGAATAATTGGCTCTACATATACAACTTTCTCAGCATTTGATGATTCCTGGAAGTGTACTGGGGAAACGGAGGATCTTGTGAATGGCGAAATGCTCTTTTCCCTGATTCTGATATTCATGTTAAGGTGCACTGGGGGAGAGCTAGAAGTGCAAGTCTTAGTCAGCATCACACCAGTTGGCTCAACTTTCTGAACCTTTCCCTTTTGCTCTTTAGTTTTCCTCTGAAGGTCACTTAGATTGTATATAAGTAAAATAGGTGATTTCTTTGTTTTCAAATACGTATCAATGGGATCCACTATACTATTCATATCCATGGTTTTCTCTCTAGTCTTTACTTCTTTCTGTAGCATGAGTTCTTTTAATTCTTTTACATCAGTGGAAAGTTCTCCGTCAATTGCTTCTGCATGTGATGATTCCTTGGACTGAGGTTGTGGGAGAGGCTCTTTTGCAATTATTATCATGCACCCCTCTCTTTCTGTGGCCTCAAATTTAAGATATGGTAGAGTAACCAAAGAGGTACAAATATTTTTGATATTCGTAACTAGTTTGTTTTTATCTTCCTGTACTTTTCTCTTTTGCTCTTTAATTTCACACCGCAATTCTTTGATATTAAGTATATGTGGAGGTGGTAATTTCTTTGCCTTCAGATCCATGTACATTGGGAGCATTTTGTCCTCAATATCTCTTTTGAGTCTATCATCCTTCTTTAACTTATAACCTTGAAATGACATAGCATATGCCTTTTTGCCTGAATAGGATGAATGCTGACTCTTTAATGGTGGAAAACAGGGTTGCATTGTTCCTAGTATGTCTTCCTGTTCATTCATTCTAGTGTCCCATTTCAGGTGAAAAGGAGAAGGTGCGGAAGCACAGGCTTTCCTCAGAACCATGTCTGGCTTACCTTTGTCCTTCTGTGTATCTTCCACCTTCTGTTTAATATTCAAAGGTTGTCTTTTCTTACTGAGCAAATGTGTAGGTGGGGATGTCTGTATTCTCAAAGTCATTATTTGGGGGAGTAGTCTACATGTCCCTTCTTCTATTTTTACTCTGTCCATTATGTCTGTATATGACATATGTTGATTAGCTTCTACTATTGTATTACATGAGCTGATATGTTCATTGAAATTTGCATCTTTGTTGTTCCCTGTACCCGAGGACTCAGGGAGCTGTAATTGTGAAAAAGAAAACCCTGTAATTTCAAGCAAGTCTTGGTCAACTTTGGTTCTGTTTTGTTCTCTGTCCTTTTCTTTTTGTGATAAGTGTTTTCTTTTTCTTACATCACCACCGATTGTCTCTGTATCTTCCGTTTTCTCTGCATCGAATAATGCTGAAACCATTTGTGGAAATAGAATGGGTCTTTTAATTCCAAGTTCTTCTTCCTCTACTTGAGTATCTTCATCTAATTTGAGGTCAGTTGGAGGTTTGGAAATATGAACTTTCCTTAGCACTGTACAAGGTGATCTACCTTGACCTTCATGTATCTTCTGTCCTTGACTTCCAATGCTCATGTGCAATTCTGTTCTTTGGAGTGTATCTGATGAAGGAGATTCCTTTGACTTCATACTTATATCTGAAGCATGTGTCATACCTCTCATAGCTACTGTTTTATCTTTGTTCGTCTCTTCTTCCTGATGCATATGTTGTTTCTTGTTTTGAACATTTTCCATGATATCCCCACTAATTGGCTCAATATGCACTATCTCCCCTGCATATGTTACTCTCTGCATTTCTTTATTCCATTTGAGGAGAGAGAGGGATTGTAATGAATTAGAACTCTGGGTCATAAGCACCCCTGGTCCATCTTTACTTCCCTGCATCTTCTCTTCTTTATTTTTCGGCAACATGAGGTTTATTGTCTCCACTGCAACCTCTTCCTTGTTCTGTTGCACATTCATTTCCATTGTGTAGCCTGACCTATTGTTTTGCGTATCAGTGGGATTGGCCTTCTGTGCTTCCCTGTGACATGCTGATTTCTCTAGCTTTAGATAGACAGAGTTCTTGAATCTTACTCTTTGTTGATCCATCTCTGCCTTTAATGTTCTATACATTTCAATATCTATTTTGTCATCAGTTGAAAGAGGTCTGGGAGATGAAAATGCATTATCTATGCTTTTATTTTGTTGCATGCCTTTTATTGTAGATTTTGAGTTGCATTCCTGTTCCTTCCTACAGTATAGGGTACCATGCTCAGTGACAGTGAGTGTCTGGGAACAAGGAGGCTTCTGTGTCTTCATGGTTACACTTACAGGACCTGTAAGATTTTCTCCTTCTGAAAACTTGAATACCTCTTTCTTCTCTTTAGATTCAGATAATATTGACATTGTGGACCTTGTTAGTAAATCTCTTTGCAAGTCTTCATATTTCTTGGCAATACGTCCATCCACTTTCCTTCTAGAGCTTTCATCACATGGATCTCCAAGCACTGAGTTCCCTGACTTGGTAGGTGGGATATTTTGATCAACTGTGTGTTTTATTACTTTTTGAGCTACAATGTCTTTCTTTTCTTCTTTAGAGTGTAGGGAACCTGCCCTGTGAACATCCAGCTTCCTTGTAGGGCTCCCACCAGATGACGTACTATACTCTGTTCCATCAGCTAAAAGATAATCAAATCTTACTTTCCCAGATTTTGGACATGAAATAATCTCACCTAATTTTTGTAGTATGTATTTTATTGGTGGCATATTCTTCTGTAGCTTTTCAGTTTGGAATGGAATCATCAGTGGAGAAGAAACTGACTCTGATATGCTTTCTGAGACCAGTATTTGTTGCTGGGCTTCTCGCTTTGCAATAAGCGTATTTTTATCTTTTCTACATTGCATACTATTCAGGAATGGTAGACGTGCTTTGAATAAAATTTCATTATCTTGTTTATGCTTTTCATTTTGCCATTTTGATTCTAAGATGCTTTTGGAGGTAGTCCATTTATTACAGGAATATGTACATAGTGGTAATTTCTTTGCCTTCCGATCCATGTACATTGGGAGCATTTTGTCCTCAATATCTCTTTTGAGTCTATTGTCCTTCTTTAACATATAACCTTCAAGTGACGTAGCATATGCTTTTTTGCCTGAATAGGATGAATGTTTAATATTTAACAGTGGAAAACAGGGTTGCATTGTTCCTAGTGTGTCTTCCTGTTCATTCATTCTAGTGTCCCATTTCAGGTGAAATGGAGAAGGTGTGGAAGCACAGGCTTTCCTCAGGACCATGTCTGGCTTACCTTTGTCCTTCTGTGTATCTTCCACCTTCTGTTTAATATTCAAAGGTTGTCTTTTCTTACTGAGCAGATGTGTAGGTATGGATGTCTGCATTCTCAAAGTCATTATTTGGGGGAGTTTTTTTCCTTTTTCATCTTCTGTTTTTACTCTATCCTTTGTGTCTGTATGTGGCATAAGTTGATAAGCTTCTATTATTGTATTAAATGAGCTGATATGTTCATTGAAATTTGCATAATTGTTGTTCCCTGTACCCGAGGACTCAGGGAGTTGTAATTGTGAAAAAGAAAACCCTGTAATTTCAAGCAAGTCTTGGTCAACTTTGGTTCTGTTTTGTTCTCTGTCCTTTTCTTTGTGTGATAGGTGTTTTCTTTTTCTTACATCACCACCGATTGTCTCTCTATCTTCTGTTTTCTCTGCATCGAATAATGCTGAAACCATTTGTGGAAATAGAGTGGGTCTTTTAATTCCAAGTTCTTCTTCCTCTACTTGTGTACCTTTATCTAATTTGAGGTCAGTTGGAGGTTTGGAAATATGAACTTTCCTTCGCACTGTACAAGGTGATCTACCTTGACCTTCATGTATCTTCTGTCCTTGACTTCCAATGTTCATGAGCAATTCTGTTCTATAGAGTGTATCTGAAGATTTCTTTGACTTCATACTTATATCTGAAGCATGTGTCATATCTCTCATAGCTACTGTTTTTTCTCTGTTCATCTCTTCTTCCTGAGGCATATGTTGTTTCTCGTTTTGAACATTTTCCATGATATCCCCATTAATTGGCTCAATATGCACTATCTCCCCTGCATATGTTACTCTCTGCATTTCTTTATTCCATTTGAGGAGAGAGAGAGATGGAAATGAATTAGAACTCTGGGTCATAAGCACCCCTGGCCCATCTTTACTTCCCTGCATCTTCTCTTCTTTATTTTTTGGCAACATGAGGTTTATTGTCTCCACTGCAACCTCTTCCTTGTTCTGTTGCACATTCATTTCCATTGTGTAGCCTGACCTATTGTTTTGCGTATCAGTGGGATTGGCCTTCTGTGCTTCCCTGTAACATGCTGATTTCTCTAGCTTTAGATAGACAGAGTTCTTGAATCTTACTCTTTGTTGATCCATCTCTGCCTTTAATGTTCTATACATTTCAATATCTATTTTGTCATCAGTTGAAAGAGGCATGGGAGATGAAAATGCATTATCTATGCTTTTCTTTTGTTGCATGTCTTTTATTGTAGATTTTGAGTTGCATTCCTGTTCCTTCCTACAGTATAGGGTACCATGCTCAGTGACAGTGAGTGTCTGGGAACAAGGAGGCTTCTGTGTCTTCGTGGTTACACTTACGGGACCTGTAAGATTTTCTCCTTCTGAAAATTTGAATAGTTCTTTCTGCCTTTTAGACTCAGATAAAACAGACATGGTAGACCTTGTTAGTAAATCTCTTTGCAAGTCTTCATATTTCTTGGCAATATGACCATCCATTTTCCTTCTAGAGCTTTCATCACATGGATCTCCAAGCACTGAGTTCCCTGACTTGGTAGGTGGGACATTTTGATCAACTGTGTGAGTTATTACTTTTTGAGTTGCTATGCCTTCCTTTTCTTCTTTAGAGTGTAGGGAACCTGCCCCGTGAACATCCAGCTTCCTTGTAGGGCTCCCACCTGATGTCATACTATACTCTGTTCCGTCAATTAAAATGTAATCAGACCTTGCTTTCTCTGATTTTGGACATGAAATCTCTTCACCTAGTCTATGTAGTGTGTCTTTTTGTGGTGGCATATTCTTCTGTAGCTTTTCAGTTTGAAATGGAATCATCTGTGGAGAACATACTATCTCTGACGTATTTTTCGAACGCAGTGTTTGTTGTTGCGCTTCTTGCTCTGCAATAAGCATGTTTTGATCTTTTCTATGTCCCATACTGCTCAGAAGTGGTAGGCCCGCCTTGGATAAAATTTCATTATCTTGTTTATTCTTTTCATTTTGCCATATTGATTCTAATATGTTTTTGAAGGTACTCCATTTGTTGCAGGAATATGTAGATAGTCTTTCTCCGTTATCTTGTTCCCCTTCACCTTGCTCCCAACCCCTTATATTGCTGCTTTTTTTCCTTAATAGGCCTTTCTTTGGTTTTTCTTTTTTATGGTTTTTGATGGCAGGTGAGACAGGTGTAGACGAAAGAAAGGAATTTATAAACATATATGACCTACCTAGAGATCTTTGTTGGGCCATGTTTTCCAAGATGGGATCCTGTTGCTTTCCATGGCTAAGGGCACCAGACCTGGTGACATTAATTGTCTTTGAAACCATCTGTGCTTTCCTAGTTCTAGACTTAGGGATTTGTGCAGCATTTCTTTGCCCTTTAAAATCAGATGAAGCTGGCACGGAGAAATAAGAAAACTCTAGGTTTCTGGCTGGTAAATCCTTTTGTAACCTTAACTCTCTCTCTGGAATAGAATTAGCAAGTTCCTTTCCAGGGCTTTTTCCAAATGGGATGCCACTCTGTGCTGCGTCCATTAAAGATTCACCAATTGATTTCCCTGGCATTGGAGAGGAAATCTTTGGATTCCTTGTATCTTTAAATCCTGTGTGTGTTTGTGTGTTTTTTGGTAACTTCTCAAATGGAAGTACATTCAAAATAGAGCGAGGAATAGGATGTAATACACGTTGTGTGAAAAGTGTTTGTTGCTGCAGCTCCTGAGCAGTGGTAAGGAATTCTGGGACTTTTTTCCTTGCTGAGTTCATCCGTTCTACATCTGGGTATACAAAGAGAGGCTCTGTCATCTTAGGAGCATTAAAACTGAAGTGTTGAGTGTTCCAAGGGGCTACTTCTCCACCTGGGTTTTTTGCTTTCTTCATGCTGTTTGGGGCACTGCCCCTTTTATCGCTGGAACTGGCACAGCAGGCTTGCTCTCCATCTGGTGATTGCTCTTGCTGTTGTAGTTCATGACTGAATCTCATTTTCCACGGCTCGTCTATCTCAACCTTTATTCTATTATTCACATTCATGTCAAATGAAATAGGCAATGCAGAGGAAATGGCATTTAGGATTATATCTGCCACAGGTATATATTTTCCCATCATGACTTTGAAGTTGCATTCGAATGTCCTTCTATGGCTTGGTGGACCACGTTTTGTGATACTAAATGTCTGGGAAATCAGTGCATTCTTTGCCTTCAAAGTTACACATTTGGGACTCATTTTATTTCTCTTGCCTGAACATTTTAAATATTTTCTCTTTGATGTAGGTAAAGCAAGTGTGGATAAAGCCAAAGACTCTGGCATCGTTGCTGGCAATTCTTGTGCTAATCCTTCCTTTCTCTCTGCAGTAAGATCTCCCAGTACCTCAGAATAGTTTATATCTACCAAAAAGTCAAAAATCCTTGATTTCAGTATCTTTGAAGGTAAATTTTTTTGACCACCCTTCCCTGGGATATTAAACATCTGTGAGATTGGTGTCTTCCTTGCCTTCTTAGTTACACATTTGGAGCTCATTTTACATTTGAAGGTTGTACACGTAAATGTCTTTCTCTGCCTTTTAGATTCGGGTGGATCAGGCGTGGAGACAGCCAAGGACTGCAGAACTGTTGCTTGTTGATTTTTGTTCAACTCTGGCTCTTCCTCTTTACCATGACTATACAGTTCCCCCGGATGGCTCCCATTACTTGGGATACCACCTCCCATTGGATTGATGAAAACTCGATCGCTTAGTGAGTCCTTTGACTTTATAAGAGGAAGCTTTGACTTGGCTGTGCAGATTGTGCCGTTTTGTGTCTGGTGGCTTTTCTTTGGCTCCTCTACCTGCATTGGATCTGTGGGCGGCATTTGTTGTGGGACATCTTGTTCTGTAACAAACAGAATTCTTCCACTTCCTTCCTTTTCTGATTTGTGAAGGTTAAGTTCCTCCTTCTGGCCTGAGCAGAATATGAAGTATCTGCCCTGCTCTGGAACTCCTTTTAGTAACGTCTCCTGTTCACTTTCTTCTTCCTCTTCCCCTTGAAGACTGGTTTCTCTGGTGTCATCTGAAGTAATGTTCTCTTGATGTAGTGATAGCGCTTGCTTTACTTGTTTAGAACGGAGTCTTTTTTTTCCTAGCATGTCTTTTTCTATCTTGCTATGCATATTCAGGTCAGGTGCAATAGTCATGAATGAGGACATTTTATCGGCCATTTCTTTACCTTGATCCACCGCTTCCATTTTGGTTGTCAAGTTACATCCCAATTCTTCTCTGTGTTTTGGGCTAGCACCACCCTTGATATTGAGTATGTATGAAATTGATGGTTTCTTTGCTTTTAAAATTCCACACTTGGGTCTCACTAATGTTTTTATATCTGAATATTGTTTGAAGTTTCTCTTCCTCTTAGATATAGAAAAAGCAGACATGCAGGAATCAAAAGTCACTGTCTTTTTCCTCTCAATACCAGCAGTCTCTTCCCTTTGATGGTTTGTATCAGATGGGACAACACATTCCTTTGCAGAAAATATTGCATCAGTCTTTGCCTCCCCTGAGTTTGGAGGGGAAAACTTAGCATACGTCTCTGGCTTTCCAAATTGAAATTGATCAAATATGGGGCATGAAGCAGAATCCAAAATAGTTTGTGGAAGATGGATTTGTAGTTTTACCTGGATATTTATACTTCCTGGTTGTTTCAGTTCCTCATCTGTTTTAACACGTTCATGGTTCTCCGTCTGATATACATTGAATATGAAGCCTTGACTATTCTTTGAGGCTAGTAGAGATTCACATTCCCCTTCCCCCTCTTTTCCATCTTTCCCACTGCTAGATAAACCACCCACATTAACAGAAAAACACACTTTCTGTTCATTTGGAAACTTCTCTTGCATTAGCTGTGAATGACCAAGTCTTGTTTCCCTTTGCATATCTGTCTCCACATTTAATCTGCTATTCATGTTGGTGTTGGGCAAAATAGGCAGTTTGGAGTGAATGACATCCCAAAATGCATCTGTTACATTTTTCTTTTGCTGTGGATTTTTCATCTTTGTTTTCAAAATGCATCGCAGTTCCTTGCTCTGCCTGTCATTAAGCAGATGTGAAATTGATGGCTTTTTCCCCCTCATAGTTCTATATCTGTAACTCACTATTATTTGGTTGCTTGATATTTTTATGTGTTTTTCTTTCTTTTAGATTTAGAAGCAAAGAACTTCACAGAATCAGAAGACTTCAGGGATGTCACTTGCAAATATTTTTGTAACTTTGAATTTTTTCCGCATAAAATAACCTAGTTGCGAGAGAGAGAGAGAGAGAGAGAGAGAGAGAGAGAGAGAGAGAGAAATTATATATATATACTAGAGAAATTATATATATACTAGAAATTTCTTTTGAGAGCCAAATTTTTTAAACTTAAACTATATAGGTAGGTACATTGTTTTTAACTTAATTAGGGTACTCCTAAGGCTTAGGAAGAGCCACACTCAAGGGGCCAAAGAGCTGCATGTGGCTCGCGAGCTGCAGTTTGCCGACCACGGGTATAAATTCTTTTCAGCACCTAGCTCAGGGTTTGCCTGATTCATAGCAGCCTAAATAAATATTTTCTCAATTGAATTATCAAAACTGGTTGTTATCGAAACTACTTTGTGCATATTGGAGAAGTTGGGGTAGGGAAGCAAGTCGCTTAATGTCGTAAGTGTTTCCCTCCACGTCCTGTGTGGTTCAGGGTTCGGGTCTGGAAGAGGAGCCGCACAACAAATGAAATAGAAAAGACACGAGATAATTTGGGAATACTGGGGGACCAGGCGAGCAAGTCCAACTCAAGAGGAAGGACTTCCACTGTGCTCAGGCCTCACCAAGCTTTTTATAGTGAGAGGTAAACAAGGTAGTGGTTACCATAGTTACACATTTCTTGTGAGTTTCACTTGTTTTGACCATGGTTACACTTCCTGCACTTCCTCAGCCCATTAGCTTCCCAGATAAGATCTAGGGAGTGTTATAAGGTCAAGCCTAATTATACTAAGAGGACTGTGCCCTCTAAGCTAGGACTTGTTTGTGACTTTGCCAGCAGGTCAGTCCGAGGCTTAACCCTATATCAGTTTCCCACAGCTTAACCTCCTTAAGCATATTTTCCTCATTTGTAAAAACAGTAATAATACTACTTATCTGGAAGCATAATTTCAATAGTATATGAAAAGCCATTAACACAGCTTGGAACTGAGCAACCATTTATAATGGACATTAGATTGAATTATGATGATCAGCTGTGGTCCTCTGTACATATGAAAAAACCCTTTTCTGGAATTCAGATGTAAATTCAATTTTCAATAGAACAAAACCAACCTGTTTCATTTCATTTCAAAATATAACACTTACCTTTTTTTTCTGAAGATGAATGAATTTGACAAATAATCTAGAGATAAATAGATAAATTTAAAAAGTCAGAGCACCAATAGGAGAAGCTTGACTGAATAAGTTTTACATATATTAAAATATGAAATTGCATAATATTTTCCAAATTTCATGCTTTTTAGGCAACTGTCTTCATTCTATTTCAAGGGAGACAATAAAATGTTAGAGGAATAAGCCCAATATCAAAGCTCCACAATTTTATGTCATTCTTATGTGTAGTTTTGAAATATAGAAGAGAAGGAAATCAACCATTTTTTTCTTACCTTCTGGGCCCCTGAACTCTTCTTTTCTGGAAGTGCAAGCTTTTTCTGAAACCATGCACAAGTCTGTATACGCACAATCTCAAAAATAACTCCTAGGAAAATTTAAATAAAGAAGATTGGCATCCATGCATTTGGAGAAGCCCAGGACTCTATGTGATCCCATAAGGTTAAAAAAAATGTATTATCTTCCAATCCACCCACCACAGCTTTTTTAAATAAATGAAACAGCTTTGGCATTTTTATATGATATGTGAAATAGATTGATGTCTCACTCTGAAGTCCTCCTTCTCTCATAACCACATGCGATGCTCTGTGTCAGAAAAAAAGTTCCAGTGCTGTCAGTGTCTTAGCAAGGGCAGCGATGATTAAATAAGGTGAGGTGCATGTCATAGTGGGCATTTAACTGTGCTCGTAGCAACTTACTTCAGCAATAATGGAAGCTCATCTGTGAGACATGTGGTGCTGTATGTGGTTTGTTTGTTTTTACTTACAAAATTTTTAAATAATCCTTTATTAATTTTGCAAAAAGAAACAATTCTATAAAGAACCCCTTAGCATAGTTGGGTTATCAGTGCCCTGTAATTCAAATATAGGACAGATTTGAATTGGACATAACCATTTTCTATTACCATCAGGAATAGTATAGTTTATGTTTCTATGTGATCAAGAAAATATCAATTTAGGGGGGCCAGGTTTAGAAAAAAAACACAAACTAAAACAAAACTAGATGCCCCAGTTTAATTTAAATTTCAGAGAAATGCAAAATAATTTTTCAGTATAAGTATGCCTCATTGTTATTATGAGGACATAATAATTTGTCTCTTATAAGCTATGGACTTTCCCCCTTAACCTTAAAATATACACCTAATAGTTAATATTTCTTTTTGCTAGATGAGTCTCCTGGCAAGGTTCATCTTCAGCAATAGCAATCAAACTACTGGCATGATTTTCTTTTTTTTTGCACTTAATTTGATGCTTTTATTGAGCAAATCTGTATTAAGCAATTTAAAAATCACTGACCCTGAGGCCTATCTTCTTCAAGCCACTCTTTTCTGTTAGTGAGCACGTTTCATGGATGTAGACACTTTCTTCATCCCTTTTGGTAGATTCGCGTGCTGACAATAGTATCCATGGTATGTTTCACTACCATTTTTCCATCGAGAGTTTGTCTTTTGATTGTTGTCTCTTTGCGAAGCCGGTTTTGGGACATGGACCAATGAGCCACTGTCTAATGTTATGATGCTCTTCACTTTCTGGTTGTCTGCTTTGGTTTCATTAAACTCCTTCCTCAGCTTGAAGGGGATCTCATAGAGACGAGGTAGCGAGGTTGAAGGGAGGCAGGATAATACGGGCAGTATGATACAGAATTCAGTCTGAGATCAGGGTACCCACATGGTCGGGTTCTGGGTCTGGTGAAGACCTGCTTCCTGGTTTATAAACAGCTGTCTTCTTGCTGTCTCCTCACCCAGTGGAAGGGAGAATGGAGGGCTCTGGAGTCCCTTTCATTAGGGCACTAATCCCATTCAAGGGGGCTCCACCCTTATGACCTAAGCACCTCCCAAAGGTCCCACCTCCTAAAACCATCACACTGGGAGTTAGGTTTCAACATATGAATTCAGGAGGACATGGACATTCAGACCATAGCAATTGCTGACATATTCATGTTACACAAAACACAGGGGATGAGGGTGGGTGTGTGACAACACATGATGCTATGAAAAGGCAAGAAAGGATTTAAAAAGCAGCAGCCATGTCTCAATACATAATAGTTGGAAAACAGCACTGTCTTCGTTGGTCAGTGAAAGAGTCGGTGAGAAGAGGACATCGTGTACTTGAGTGGACTTGTGTCAGCACAGTTCTTTGACTGTGATCTCCTTCCACTGATTCCACTGTGTATACAGCAGTATTCCACGGGGCATATATGTAAAATGTTGGTGTTTCTTTTTTAAAAAAGGAATTATGTTTATGTTTCTAGAGCAGTTTACAAATGACTCTTTGAGAGCCTTTCAGCTTTTTGGTTCTATGAAATTCTCTCATATGAAGCATCAACTTGGAAAGCAAGGTATTTTCACAGAGTTCACTTTGCTTTACTCTCTTCACTAAGTGTAATTTAATAGTAAATCCAGTGCAGGGAGGTTGAGGGCATTGGAAGGAGGACAGAAACCTATAAAATTGAGTGGAACCCGATCTCCATTCTTCTTTTCCATTAAGTGCATTGTCTTCCTTTTACACCTTTAGTTCCCATATTCTTTTTCATCATGTCTTTCTCTTTCACCTCATTTCCCTTCATTATCTTATTTCCTCCTCTCTTTGCAGACCCTCAACTAACCCCACTTTTTCTTTCTCATTTTCCTTAATCCAAATGTCCTGTCCAATTTCATGGTGTTCTGGTGGCATTCAGAGCCTGAATGGCATGGTGAGCTGATGGTCAGGTTTGTCTCAGTCACCCAGGGGTAAGCTGGGCAGTGACCTCTACCATGTAGGTTTGTGATCCGAAATGTCTCCTAGGACCAGTCCTGGGCCTTTCTGTATGACTTTGGGGGCAGTGAGTGGGCATGAATGGGTGACCCACATACTCCAGAAAGCCTGTTTCAGGAAAGGAGCAAGCCAAGAGGAATCCTCCTGGCCTGCAGCCTCTTCCCCAGCACAAAACAAGCTCCACCCTCTTTTGGTCTGAACCCTAAGATGCAGACCAAACTGGCTCTGACTCTTTTCCCTCAAGAGTAGAGGGTAAATCCCATGGCATTAGGAGACACCAGTCCTGCCTAGATCCCAGGTATGAAGAAGCAAAATTTTAAAAATGAATGACCCTGGTGACTATAGTTAGCAACACTGTACTGTGTACTTGAAAGTTGCTATGAGAGTGGAGCTTTAATGTTCTCACCATAAAAACAAAATGGTAATTATATGAGTTAAAGGATATGATAACTAACCTTATTGTGGTAAACATTTTATGATACATAGGCTTGTCAAATCTCACAGTGTACACCTTAAATTTGCATAATGTTAGATGTCAATTATCTATCATCCATCTATCTATCTATCTATCTATCTATCTATCAAAGGCTAATATGCAAAGTGTCCCCTCGGGAGTTTGACTGGGAGACCGGGAGTTTGATCGCTTGCTATGACATGCACTGACCACCAGGGGGCAGCGCAGAATGAAGGAATCGCCCCGGCCAGCAGCCTTAAGGCCCCGATCGGCCAGGCCTGGGGACCCTACTCATGCATGAATTTCATGCACTGGGTCTCTAGTATGTCAATAATGCTGGGGGACAGGGGAAGAAAGGGGAAGAATAGGTACCCATGAGCTCTGGAGTCCCCTACTGAGGGGAGACACTGCTTGCCTTGAATTTCCCTGGAGTATTCTCCCTAGTTGTTGTTTTCCCCCTCCCCTCTTCCCCCTATTTTAGAGCTACCACAGCCTCTCCACGTCTGTTCTGGCTGGGTCTTCCTCTGGTTAATCCATCAGACTCACTGGGTGTGATTGGCCTTCTCTGACCCAGGCTACTGCTCTGGGTATACACTAGTAATAGTCCAAGTGCCTCAGAACTTTGGCCAAAGAAAGTTATGTGTGGCTGGGCCCTCTGGTTAGGCCCCATTTGACCAGGAGTTTACTTCTGGGGATCTTCATTTTTAAAATGAAGACTCTGAGGCTCAGAGAGTTCAAGTAATTTGCCCAAGGTCACAAGGCTAGTTGCAGACCTAGAATTTGAACATAAATTTTCTGGTTCCAACGTTTATTCCGTTCCCCTATAGCACACTATTCAGCTCACTAACCAACCAAAGTCCGTTACTGAACATATCAAGTTGCTTGAAACATAGCTATCTATTCACTGAGAAATAACATCACAGGGAATACTGCTTGTTGCTATTTTCAAATTTACGTACAACTGTAGGAATATCTCACCTTTTTTTCTTAAATTATCTTTTATGTAAATGTGATTACAGAGTTCCACTAGCAAGTGATGAAGATGAAACAATGTGCAGGTTTTTCCAGCCAGGATGTACCCTAATCTACATGCGGCACACTGACAAAATTGGTTTCCCCATTAAATCAACTTGTAAATATTTCCTACCCTTTTGGCACTCGACATCAGTCTTTGGTAGGGACTCACCACCCAATCTTATAGGGTTCAAAACTGTGTGGCAACCTTATAAAAAACTTGGATACGACTCTACTGAACAAGGGGAGGCCAGGGGTGAGGGCTATGACTGGGGAATCCCAAGCCACCATCAGGTTTAGCCTTTCTTTTATCTTGTTTCCTTGCGCCCTATTGTGGTCAGGAATGAGGGGAGGATTACCAAGGCCCATTGTAAACTCCAGGAGATTCTAGACTCGAGGCATTTCCCAAGTTTTGGTGGAAATTCCCCGTGGAACAAAAGTCCCCCTCTCATAAATCTTTGTACTTCCCCATCTTATAAAAGTGAGCTTGCCCAGCCAGCGTGACTCAGTGGTTGAGCGTTGACCTATGAACCAGGATGTCTGTGGTTCAATTCCCGGTCAGGACACATGCCTGGGTTGTAGGCTAGATTTCCAGCAAGGGGCATGCAGGAGGCAGCCGATTAATGATTCTCTCTCATCATTGATGTTTCTATCTCTTTCTCCCTCTCCCTTCCTCTCTGAAATCAATGAAAACATATTTTTAAAAGTGAGCTTAATTTTCCTAATTATAAAAGAAACACATATTTCAAAACTTTAGAAACTGAAAAATACAGAAAAGTATGAAGAAAATAAAAATAACAAATACTCTGACCTGGCAGAAGTAGTAACTGTCAAATTTTGTTACATATTCACAATTATTTACTAGTATATGCAAATATATATATACATATATATCACATTTATTTGTTTAATATACACTATAACTAATCTATCACTAGCTCCTGAACAAGCCATTACTAATGCCTATATCTCTCGTGTGCACCTCTGCCCAATCCTTCTGTCTGAGGTAAACACTGGTGTTTACAGTTATAATTCCCTTGCTTCTTCTTAAAAGTAAAATTAATATACACACAGGCGGAATTACACTGTACTTATAGTTTCCTCCCTTTTCCCCCCACTGAGCCTTACCCCAGATCATCAAATATATCAGAATACATGGCTGTAACCAAAACTAAGAATATGGGTGTATTATAGTTTATTTAACAAACACTCTGTTGGCCATGTAGGTTGTTTTTAAAATTGTTGCTACTCTAAATCATTCAAGCTACTCAAGAAAAATATTTGCACAAATCTACGATTATTTCTTTGAGATGCATCCTTAGACATAGAATTTTGGGTTATGATGTATGAAGTCTTTGATCACTCTGTTCCTCTGCACTGGAAGCCATTCCCCTCCTGACCACCTGGGTTATCCTGACAGCACTTTTCGGAGGAGCCTTCAGCCTCCTCCCTATGCACAATTAGGTGTCTTCACTGCAGGGTCCCTGTGCTCTGCTGCCTTCTTGTAGAAGCACAGGGACATGGCTTATACTTCCTCTTCTTCAGAGATGCCTTCAGCCACTCAGTAACCAGGGGATCCTCACCCCCAGAAATTTTGGAATCCTCAAAAACAAGCAACTGGGCCCTTTCCAAGAAATAGGGAACGAACACCACTGGCTTCAGAATCTTAATTTCCCTTACACCTAGGGTGACTGAGCCACCAGCTCTTCACAGTGGGGTTTCTGTTCTGACTTGTGTTTTCATTTCTGAAGGTAAAAGTATACGAACCTTCGGAGATTTTCTCTCAAAGGGGCAGCATAGGCAGATCAGCAGGTTTTCTTGACTAGAGTAGGTGACCTGTATTGGGAGCTTGCTCACTAGGTGACACCACCTTCATGGGCGTCTGGACCCACACGGCACTGACATATTGGGGTGTTTCCTCATACATCAGCTCTGAGCAGGGTGCCTGCACATCAGAAGCACTTAGCAAGTGTCTCACAAATGAAGGAGTCTAAAGTCCCTTCCCTGCTCCAAAATTCTGATCCTAGAGATTTTACAGGAGAGGAATGCCATGTTATTAGGATTTGGACTGAGAATGTACTTTCTACACTACCTAAGAGTTTGGGTCCCAGTGTAGGTAGGGAAACGAGAACTGGCTGTAGTTTTGAAGTGGCCAAGGCCAGAGATTTGATATGGACATTGAGTGTTAACCTGGATCTTGTTGACAGGGCCAGAGGGGCAGGAAGCAAAGGAAGGATTCCCTCTGCAGTAGCTCTTTTCCTCAACAGTTTCTTTCATCACCTTCCTGCATCAGGTGTAGGGGAAGAGAGGAAGTCTCTCTGCACCACCTGGGATGGGTGGTGCCAGGTCCTTTCAGAAGAAAGGTCTTTAGATAGCAGAAGCCAAAGGAAGGAATGCCACCAGATTCCCATGCAAAGTGTTCCTTACAGCCTTTAGTGGTTTGTTGTACCTGACAAAAGCCAGGTACATGCCGAAGTACAGGCTGAAGCCGTGGCTCTAATATTCGTATCTATACTAATAAAAGGGTAATATGCTAATTAGACTGGATAGACTGGACGTCTTCCGGACGTCATACTGAATGTCCTTCCTGACGTCATTCTGAATGTCCTTCATGACAAATCCAGGGCCTGGGCAGCACTGCCCAGGGTCTTGGGTGCCTGTGGCCAGCCAGAGGGAAGAAATCCCGGGTCTTGGGTGCGGGGGCAGAGGCAAAGGGGGTTAGGGGTGATTAGGCAGGCAGGCAAGCAGTTAGGGGTGATCGGGCAGGCAGGCAGAGTGGTTAGGGGTGATCAGGCAGGCAGGCAGGCAGGCAGGAGAGCAGTTAGGAGCCAGCGGTCCAGGATTGTGAGAGGGTGCAGGCCGGGCTGAGGGAACCCCCTCACCCCCACCCCATGCACATATTTCATGCACCGGGCCTCTAGTATATGAATAAATAGGGTTTTGGTTGAATACCTTTTAAACTCTTATTGCATATTAATTTTCATCTGTATAACATTTCCATATGCCAGGTAATTATGTGCTATGAATACATTATTTCATTTACTATCCACTACAATACTCTGAAGTAGATCTTATTCTGTTTCACAGATGTAGAAACTGAGGCATAGAGAGGTTGCTTGTCTAATACCACAGTTGGCAGATCTGAGATACAAGCCCAGCCTCTTTTGACTCCAAAGCTCATTTTATTTAGCCGACTGAGTCCTGCTTTGCTTATGACCTTCATCATATTCTGCCTCATTTTGCAGGCATTTGTCCAAGTTCTGCATTATGAGTCCTCTGGGAGCACTTGCCTTACTTCTCTCTTATTAGCCGGAAATAGTGATATTTGCCATTGATTCAAGCAGCGACCTAGTCTGTGAACTGAACATCACAGGCGGTGTGTGCGGGTTCTCCTCAACTTCTTATTTTGAAAATTTTAAACTTACAGGGAAGTTTCAAGAATAATGTAATGAACACTCATCTTCTACCTAGATTCACCAATGTTAACATTTTGTACATTTGCTTTTTTCTTTTTTTCTGACCATTTGAGTTAGTTGCAGATACATGCTATTCCACTCCTAAATACTGTAGCATGTATCTCCTAAAAAAATGTCCTGTCTACATAACCAAGATGCAATACAATAGTCTACATTCAAATTTTCCCAATTGTCATGTTTCTCAATAGCTGCTCCCCACCCCAAGGTCCAATTTGAAATCACATTATTTTTAGTATCATATTTTTCATCTCCTTTTATTTTTATTGCTTTTAGAGAGGGATAGAGAGATAGAAACACCCATGGCTGCCTCTTGCTCCCCCTCCTGGGGATCCGGGGCAACCCAGGCATGTACCTCCACCGCCCGCCCCCGCCCCCCCCCCCCCCCCTTTAAACACACACCCAGGAATCCATCAGGTGTCCTCTTCCTTCATGGGTCATGCTCAGCCACTGAGCCACACCGGCCGCGCCCATCTCCTTTAATCTAGAACAGTTCACTAGCCTTTTGCTTAATCTTTCATGAAATTTACATTTTTAAAGAGACTGGGCAGTTGTTTTGCAGAATGCCCCTCAATTTGAGTTTGTTTCCTCACGAATAGAGACAAGTCAAACACTTTTGGCAAGAATAATGATCGTTGGGTCGGTCCTCTGTGCACGCTATCAGGGAGCACGTGACGCCAGTCTGGTTTCTTTGATGTGAAGGTACCCTTTTCTCTTTAGTAAGCAACCTGCGGGTGATACTTGGAAACATGAATGTCTTCAGCCATCCTGCATCCATTGATAATTTTTTTTGCCTGAATCAATTATTGGTGGCTCCCAAGTGGTGATCTTCTATTTCTATAATTCTTTCTACATGTATTAGCTGGTATTCTTCTCTAAAGAGGTTTCCCTCCTCCACCTCTCTTTTGAATGATCATCTACCTACCGCTGCCTGTGTGATCTTGAGTACGTGACGTCACGTACACCGCTCGGGGCCCACGTTTTCTCATCCGTAAGGTGAGATGACCTATGGGTCACCTTCTTGACATTTACTCAGTCGGAGATTTTTCCATAAAAATGGGCAAGGCATCCGCCAGAGAAATGGCCGGGTTCTGGTGGCGAGCCACCGCAGCCGCCAGCCAAGAGTACCAGTAAAGTCTCCTCCGCCCGCTGCGGTGCGGCCGCTCCCATGGCAACAGTAACTGGTAACCTCCGGGCGTTCTCGCGAGAGCCAGCCCTCCAGCGACAAAGGTGCGATTCCCCCAGGCCTTGGACCTCCGCCCTGGCCACCTGCGCGCAGGGCTTGTCGCGCACGCGCACGCGCACGCGCACACACCGAGCCGGACAGTTGGTGGTGTTGGTTCGCCCCAGCTGTTCCTCTCGGCACGCAGCTCTGCGGCGCGCGACCTCGGAGTGACACCACGGCTCATACACGGTCCGCATAGAGGCTATGTTTTCGTATCCGCGGGGGGAAGCGAGCCGCGCAGGCGCGGACGCGTTGTTGAAGAAGACCTTCAGCGTTGCCCTGGCTGAGCAGAGACCTGCTCTCTAGGTGGAGGTGAGGGGAGCCGCGGCCGCGGGGCGTGCCGGGGGTCAGGGGCGGTGGGTCGCCATGGCGCCGGGGACCCGACGGGAGGCGGGCCTAACGGAGGGCTCGGGAGGGAGAGCGCAGCCTAACGGGGCGCGGGCCCGGCTGGGCCGAGGAGGGCAAAAGGGGACCTTGCTGCCCTGGCCGCCTTGGGTGATGGAGCCGCTGCGCCGGCGGGGGCCGGCGGCGCTGCGAGCGCCGAGCCGCGACCTCCCCGGCGCCTGGGGTGCCCGTGGGACTTCGTTTCCAGGCGTCAAGCCGGAAAGGAGGTTGGTTTCTAGGGAAGTTGGGTCCCCGAACCCCAAACCCCCTCCCCGCTCCCCAGCTTCCTCCCTGGAATTGTTACCCAGCATCATGGGAGCCCTTCCATCCTCACCGCCGCGGGGAGGATGCTGTGTGTGCAGCCTGGAAAGGAGACGCGAGGAACAGACGGGCTCTTCGCTGACCGTGTGGTCAGCTCCGGGGTAAAGCAGCAGCACCCAGGTCACGAACGCCCTCTCCTCCCGCGTCTGCATCGGATGCAACCTCGGCACCGTGTGCGCGTCTACAAGTAACAAGTGCATTTTGTAGCGCTAATAGAAATGGGCGATGACGGCTTTCGTTGCTCTCGAGTAACGTGAAGTCTCTTGTCTTCCGATTTTCTGCTTGATCATACCAGTCGTACATTTCCCATCAGAAACCGTGGGCCCGAAGAAGTAAGCTTGAGCTAGGGGCAGAACCGAGATCAGCTGGTAAACGAAATCAGCTACACGACTTTTGCAAAACGCCTGGCAGTGGCTTTGAAAGAGAAGGCGGAATGCTGAAAAGTCATGATGAGTCCCTAGATCAGCGGTTCTCAACCTGTGGGTCGCGACCCCTTTGGGGGTCGAACGACCCTTTCACAGGGGTCGCCTAAGACCATCGGAAAACACATATATAATTACATATTGTTTTTGTGATTAATCACTATGCTTTAATTATCTTCAATTTGTAACAATGAAAATACATCCTGCATATCAGATATTTACATTACGATTCATAACAGTACAAAATTACAGTTATGAAGTAGCAACGAAAATAATTTTATGGTTGGGGGTCACCACAACATGAGGAACTGTATTAAAGGGTCGAGGCATTAGGAAGGTTGAGAACCACTGCCCTAGATGGATGTTTCTAAACATTCAAGTGCACCTTTTCTTTTGTCAGGAGATGAAAAACCAGACTCTAAAGCCTTAACATTTCTATTTGAATGTATGGTGCCTGTTTTTTTTCTGTACTTACCTTTCCAAATTATAGTCTTCTGGCAAAATTTCAACAGATACCAGCATCAGTTGTGATCATAAAAAGTAATACCAGATTGCAATGTGTAAAATGTATAGAATCTATCATTTGAATACAAGGAACTGAACTGTAAAATAATTGCTCTGGAAGTGAACTCTGAAACCCTATGGCTTAGAAAAAAAGTTTTATTATGGAATGAGTCAGTACATTTATTATCCTGACCCTTTCATTTTTACTATACTCTTTCCTTGAAACAAAGTTTTATTATGGTATGAGACAGTACATTTGTCCTGACCCTTTCATCTTTACATACTCTTTCCTCCTAACTCTATGTGTATGTGTGTATTACACTGTTCCCTTAACATACAGTGGCTGTCGTATTTGACAGATTTAGGTTAAGGAACAAATTTTTAATGAATTCACAATTAAGAAGTGCATCCTAAGTTTATATCATGTTCAGGTATGATGGCATAGGCAGAAACTTAACAGAAGGCCAGGTTAAGACCTGGGCTGAATAAATACTGGTTTGAACGTGTAGGCATAGGGATTGCAAGGACCAGCTGGTGCTCTGGAATTTTCTGGTTTAGTATCTGGGGCTAATTGGGTTGCTTCAGGTGGTTGTACAGTTGGTTACACATGGTTTTTGAGACGGCTGCAGGAAAAGATTTCCCGTTACACAAAGGGCAAAGGAAGGGTATGTTCAGCACTGTTGATAGAACTGAGCATTTCGATGTGAGTCTTGTTGGCGGCAGAAAGCTGGGTGAATACTAAGTCGGCAAGATAAAAAGTCAAGGCTCTTTGGGATTTAACTTGAGAGTACACCAATTTTTGATAAGGAGATTACTGCAAGTAGAATTATTCCTATTTCTGGTTCATGGGTAATATTTTAGCACTTTATATTAAGAAGAGCTTTGAGCCCTAACCTGTTTGGCTCAGTGGATAGAGGGTCCGGTTCGATTTTGGTCAAGGGCACATGCCTGGCTTGCGGGCTCCATCCCTAGTAAAGGGTGAGCAGGAGGCAGCCAATCAATGATTCTCTTTTCATTCTTGTTTCTGTCTCTCTCTCTCTCCCTCCCTCTCCTTTCCTCTCTGAAACCAATAAAAATATATTTTTTTTAAAAAAGAAGAGCTCTGAGAGGGCATATTCTGGATGATTGCATTTCAATTAATATGGTAATTCTTATTTTAAGAGCTTAATTTCAGAGTGACAAAAATGTTAACCCTGAAGATTTTTAGTGCATCTGTTTAAGCTTACAGTTCTTTAACAAATTTATCTTGTCGCCTTATACAGCTTTTTGGCTTTATAGGAGCCTCCGAGATGTTTTTCTAATGTAAATTTTCCTTTTTTTAAAGTAAAAAGTTAAATTAACACATTCCTCCTTTGGCCTGTAAGAAATTTCTTTTCTTTGAAATGCTATCAGAAGATGACCTCTGACTCTCCTGAAAAAAACCCTTTTATTTTTCAGTGTTCAGGAAAGCTTTTTTTAAAGGATCTGAATGCCTTCTCAGCTTTGCTGGCATTCGGGTGTAAGCATTAATGATGCAAAGGAAGAGAAAACGTGTACCTCTTCTCACAGCACTGTATAGTAGAAGGATTAAGGGTGAATAAATACTAAATGGATATTTTCATTGTTCCCATTTTTCTTTATAAGAGATGTGTAACACACCAACTTACTGTGACCTAGGAAAGGCTGCCAAGGATGTCTTCAACAAAGGATATGGTAAGTATGCTATTGTAAATTTCCAATGTGGGGTAAATGTTAGTATTAAATGCTTATACCATGCTGGTAAAATGAGGTTAATCAACATTAATGTGTCTCACAAGATTTAAGGAGATAACTATTAACAGGTTATTAGACTTCATTCTTTAGAGGAGTCACACAAGTTTTAAAAACAATTGTTTAAAAATAAGACCAGCCCTAGCCGGTTTGGTTCAGTGGATAGAGCATTGGCCTGTGGACTGAAGGGTCCCAGGTTCGATTCCGGTCAAGAGCACATACCTCGATTGCAGGCTTCTCCCCGGCCCAGGTCCTGGTCGGGGCACGTGCAGGAGGCAACCAATCGATGTGTTTCTCTCACATCAATATTTCTCTGTCTTTCCCTGTCTCTTCCATTCTCCCTAAAAATCAATGGGAAAATATCCTCAGGTGAGGATTAACAAAACAAACAAAATAAGACCAAATAATATAAATCTGTAATATGTGTGCTTTCTGTGGCTACAATTAAAGCAGGGAATACATTTTTCCTTCTCTAAATAATGGCAGTGTTTTTGTAAGAGTGAAGACCCAACTTTTAACGTCTTCGGAGTAACATATATTCTTTGATCCAATAGACATTTATTTTTAGTTTTTAAAGTTTAGTCTTTAAACTTTTAATTTTTTGTGTTGTATACATTTGATTTTTTTTATTAACTAGTAATGTTAATTATATATATTTTAAGCTTGTATATATATCTGCATAGTATTTTCTAATAATTTTAGTTCTCAGAATAGTACATATTTCATTCATTTATTTGTTCTTTAACTTATAGTTTTAAAATACATCTTCATTATTTTGAGGGGTTTAAAAATTATGCTTAAGCTAGTTCATTATAATTGTTTCTTATGGAAGTCTCACCTAACGAGAATACTGTGTATTTTCCAAATGGAAGGGACTATGGACTATTTTCATAATTTCTGAGTTACAAAAACTGGAGTGAATGTTACATTTTGTACATTACTGTGTTTTTGTGTGTGTCTAGGGTTTGGCATGGTCAAAATAGATCTGAGAACCAAGTCATGTAGTGGAGTGGTAAGTACCTAATATATTTTCAATAAATGTATCCTCATGAACTGAAAGGAACCAGTTTAAAAATCAGTGTTCAGTCTGGTTATGTGAAGCAGCATACTTTTGGCTCTCTGCTCTCTTCCCGACAGTTTTCTTCCACTCTCAGATTTCAGTGAGAATCCTCACTCAGCCACTTAAGCCCAGAAATAGTCAGGTTGAATTTTGTTTTTGTCATAACTAGACTATTCTTAAGTCTTACTCTCACAAGGTATAGTGTGTGTGTATATATAGATTTGACCCATGCCAGATTGTTATGAATCTTCATGAGTATGGGCACTGAAAACTTTCCTTTCATTGTATTGGGTTCATACAAGTTTTATCATCCTTTTATAAGAATAAATTAATTTTAGCCTCTGCTTCTTCATGATTAATTAAAGCAAATGTAGAAATAAAATGCACATAGAAATTAGTTTATAGTTTTTATTGATGATCATAGAGTCTTTTTTACTGGAAGTTAAGAATATAGTAAAAGATATATATGTGCATATTTTCAAAGCATCATTAACCAGAGCTTTTATTAAGTCTTAGCAACTAGATTACCTTTACATTCACCTCATTCTCTGATTTCTCCTAATTGGCCTCATCTTTTTTGGTATTATCTATTCAAACAGATGCAAAGTTTATTTCTAGGTATAATGATTTAATTAGAAGGGAAGAGGTATGTGGAATTCTTATGATACTTTGTCTCAGACTCTGTATAAACCTGGTTTGTCACTGTCATTCTTTCCCTGGATTTTCTAGTGGTGAGTAAATATATATGCAACTACAC